GTCAGTACCAAAGCACTGACTGCTGACCATACCCCCGTAGACTAGCAGTCCACCAGCAGCGGTATCTGGCAAGTGCTGGTATATGAACATAACATTTTGTGTGTCTAGAGCACTTTTCTGGGTTTACCTTCATGAGGAACGATGAAACCCAAGAACTGAACGAAGAAAAAAAAAGACGTCATTGGTCTTCAACATTTGACATTTTCAGCATTCCAATATTTAGTTTAGAACATAATCAGTAAGAAATATTTTTTTTCGAAATCCACATGGTGCATCCATTTGATGTAGGTATCGTGTAGTTTTGTAAGACAAAAGAAAAATAAATGCAACTAAACGACAATCAATCGAACAAAGCTAGTTACATAATTAGACATAAAACAAGTTCTTCTGGTACTTCAACAAAGAACGCCTAGCCTAGTGTTTAATTATGAACAACTACACATATTCAAAATAAACAAAACGCTTTAGGGAATCCTTTTCTATAGTAAATGTTTAGCAAAAAAAAATGAAACAACACAGTCACTATATATATTGAATGCGCCCGAAGCACCTTTCTTGATTTACCTCCGCCAGGAACTCTCTAAGCCACATATTTGAAATCCAAGATTGTATAAGAACTAAAACAGATGAAAAACTATATCACCAAAAGGACCTAAACATAAGTAGCCAAGTTTCTATAACGTATACATTGCCTGAGGGAGTTGAAAGCTCCTAATAATTTATAAAATCAATAAACGGATAATTGAAGTAAGGTATGCTATTAATCGTGTCAGTAGAACATGCAAGTGTTTGATTAACATAAATTGATGACGTGAAAAAAATATTTCTGCATTTTTCATAAGATGTTAGTGGAAAGACAGAAAACTTTTTGAATAATGTTGAAGAAAAAATATAAGTACAAATATGGTTTAAACAAGGGGTTTTGAAATGTTTGTTTAATTTTAAACATATAGAAATTATTGGGGTTGATTTGTAAAAGTGTTCATGCATTTAAAAGCAGATGAGATGTGGATCATCCATAAGATTGACATAGTATCATCCGTATGTGTCAAAAGTTATTGTCAAGTATTGTTAACTTTTTGTTTTACGTTTCAAAAAAATAAAATAATAACTTTGAGGTGCCACATGTGGAGCAGGATCTGCTCACCCTTCCGGAGCACCTTAGATCACCCCCAGTTTTTGGTAGGGTTCGTGTTGCTTAGTCTTTAGTTTTCTATGTTGTGTTTTGTGTACTATTGTGTGTCTGTTTGTCTTTTTCTGCCATGGAGTTGTCAGTTTATTTTCGACTTATGAGTTTGAATGTCATTCTGGTATCTTTCGCCCCTCTTTTGCAAACGATTGTGTACATTATTTATTACTTAAATGATTTGATTCATACAAACCTGGAATGGTAGTGTTAAAAGATTTTTAAGAATGTATATTTTATATAAGTGTAGCATAAATACAATTATTGTGAACGTACAGAAAGCGTAACACTATACTTACACCAGGTATTAGACCGGATGTGGTTGCGTATTTATACATCTCATACAGCCAAATAAAAGGGAAATGACACTCTTTTGAATTGGGTTTTACTGCTGGGCGACATACGAAAAGGTGACCACATTTCTACACCCTAGCTAACCATTGAGTTTTTATGGTTAAGATTTTCACGCCAGTGCTGATTTTTATCACATCAATTGATTAACTAAACGCTGAACGTTCATATAACGGCAATTCAAATGTAATAATGAGAAAGTTTAAGTAGTACTGGAAGCCGTTTCTGAGTAATTTAGATGAAATAATTGATACTGGTTTGAATGTAATTTCAACAGAGCCAAATTTTCATGTCGGAAAGACAATTTGAACGTCTTCAATGAAAAGCAAGTTTTGGGGGCAAAATAGACAGACTAATAACAATGTATTCCGCCTGGAAAGCCGTTGAAATAATCTAGAAATGTGATAAAAATATTAAAAAAAACTGCAGTATAAAGGATGTTTCTATTCTTAACTATTTCAATTATGCATAATACTTCTGTAGGTTGATGTAGATAGAAATGTAATGACTGCCAACTATAATATTATCATGCCTTTCTAATGAACGTTTATTATGATTAATTTTCTAGCGCGTTACATTTTTTATTCAAAAGAAATTAAGACATATTGGGTCACCGCTCAAACATTAAGAACGTAAGCATCACAGAAAACAACAAACATTTATCGAGTTAAACAGCTGTTGTAAATAATTGTTTTTTGCTGTTAACCTGCAAAATCTATTAGTGTTTCTTTCCTGTTTCATGCATTTAGAATACATCAACCTTCAATAAGGGGAACTAGTGGTCACTGATACCTCTGTTCACAGCATTACTATTGAACTGTCAATGTCATATCAGCAAATACCGAACTTAACCTTTACTTTATTGGTCACGACACAGTAAACAAATATTAAAGATTTGGTAAAGCGATGCCGTAACTGTTATCTGCAACCCTAACAACATTCAGATTATTAATGGGCAGAACACAACTGTAAAATTCAACATTCGTCAAAACCTGCAGACAGAGGGATCCATGTGTCCATCAATCCGCCATGATACCCGTTCATACAACCGTAATGCAAAGTAGGTCAAGCGCTTACATAGGCTTGTATACAGAGGAAGTATAAAAACCATAAACCTACGTCTTGCTAATTCGGTTTTGAGCATTTTTCATCATTGTTTTGACAGATTTTTTTCAGTAAGTATCAATATTCAGTAGATTGCATTATAGAATATAGGAGAGGACGAGATGCAAATATACAAATCCTTTTACAAAAGTGACTAAACTAAATGTGGGAAAAACTTGTTATTTATTTGAACTACCAAGTACATATACCAATATAAATATTATTTAACAGATGTACTAGAATTAAAGAAGTGAAGTTGTTCTACATATTTAAGGGAACATTCCAGATATTCTTCTTCGAGCATGTTTTGTAAAAATAGATCATGAGAGATCTCGAGCATTGATGATGAAACATTTATTGTCGAAATGCGTATCTGGTGCAGAACAATTGTTATCGTTAATGTATTACTAAACACAGCTTAATGGATTAAACGATACTTATTCGACTTAAGTGATAATAATGTTTGACATTCATAGCGCTTGAACAGTTGAAAATAATATACAAACAATAAATGTAACAGTGTCAAATTTTGCGCGAATACTTGTTGCATGGCGCCTTGTATAGACAACCGATGATCAAGAAAGAATGCTGGCAAACATCCGTTAAGCCTCTACCTACGTTATAATATAGTTTTACGTACTTTGTATTTTCGTAATTTTTTACATAGGTGATGGAAACCGGAGATGTTATAAAGCTCTTCAACCCTGCAATGAATTTACTGGGAAGACAAAACAACAGAATAGGAATCTTCTTGCCTTCTCAATAAAAACCAGCCAATAGTATCATACTTATAAATATATATTTCTATTGACTTATGGCCGTGTTACGGTCTTTTTTCTTCGCTTTACATGTTTTAATTTTTTACTGTCCCTTAGTGTCTTTTCCTCTTTTTTATCAAAAAAATGTATAAGAAGCTTGTTACACTATTATTTTACATTTTAATCTTTACTGCATGTTCACAAAAAAATCTAGAAAATTCATTAACATTCACACTTTACTATTTTCGTTAACTAATTTTTAGTGTTCCTTGTAAACCTAAGTAATATCTTCTTAAAAGGAAGGAAGAATGTGCCAAGGGGACAATAAAAAAGAAAGACGACGAAAAGACCAACAACACTCTACAAAACACTTCACAAAAAACTAAAGACTGAACAACAAAAAACACACCAAAAATACTGGGGATATCTAAGGTGCTCCGGAAGGGTAAGTTGTCATGCACTTCTGTCTACAAGCTATCTATGGAATTTTTCGTATAAAGATATAGTTACTGTGTGAATATAATGGTTTATAAAGATAGATATGTGGCTAAAATGAGACATGAGTTAAACGTCAACGAGTTGGCAACCAATCATAAAAAAAAAACAACACAAAAGATAGTACATCTAGATTCGATGTAGTGTTTATATGTGTCTATGCAAAATAAAAAGCTCTTAATCGGCCCGAGTCTACAAAACTAGTGAATAAATTATATCAAAGACCAGTCACTAACACTAAATTATCCTACTTGAGACATACAAAGACCTTCAGATATGATAAAAGACAATCATTAACATTGTCCCGATTAAATTCTGTATGAGCAAATACCGTCCATTTAAATATGCCTTGGTGTCGTCAATACTTCAATTTTGATGGTCATATTTTAAAGTCAACCTTCAGACACACATATAGCATTAGATTTGTCTTTTGGCATGTAAAGTCAGCAGCAAATTAAACTGAAGTTTGTACGTTAGAAATGTGTTCCCATAGTAACATTATAAACTAAGTTTACGCAAAACTATAACCTGTGTTGCTCTCTTCGATTGTCATACTTACAGGATAATGGTAACATTATATGAGAACGGTGTTCATATTTGTTTTAATTATTTCTTATTAACTTATAACCGTCAATTTAACGACCTTGAGAAACAACGTCAATTATTGAAGAGTTTTATTCTGAAGGGTTATAATTTTTGTAACTACTTTCCCACTGTTTGTCGTTAAAAAGTAAACGACAACGTCAAGCAAGCATAAAAAAAACTACATTTTTGCGCTTAAAAGAGTATTTGACTGTCACTACATCTCATGCCCACGCTTTTACTGTTCATATATTTAATCAAAACTTATTTTTGATCTAACATACGATTCTGAGAATGTTAATCTATTCCTTTTTGTTTGCAGTTATAACGAATATGAATAAGTAAGGTTTATACTTTTTTGGCTTATATAAAGCAAAAAATGGGGCAAAGGGAGTGTGCTTCCTGATCTTTAAACATTTGGAAAATAAATTTGAAATTAAAAAAATAGACCAAAGATGTTAGTCTATTTCGTTTTTCCTGGTAAAATGAGCTGAATGATGCAATGGTATAGAAGTTGTTCTTACCTGTATAAAATGTATGATTTTACACATTGTATCTCCAAGGTACCATGTTTCTGTCACATCTTGTAACAAGGTAGCAGGAAGACAGAATAGGATCACCAAAAAGTCAGAGAAGGCCAAGTTAAATATAAACGTGTTTACCACTGTGTGCATCTGCAGACTACGCCATATTACAAAGCAAACTAAAGCATTTCCTACAAGTCCACTCATGAACAGTACCAAATTTATCACAATAAAAAACCATTCACTCAAAGATGGAAAAATATAGTCAGCAATTACTTTTCTACAAACATCCTGCACCACGCCTTCACATGGTTGAAGTTTACAGTTATTGTAACACCAATTTATTTCTGGAATCAAATTTTGAGCAGTATAATTTGCTGTAAAATTATTATCCATTTTTGTTTAAAAGTCTTCAGATCAATTCTACATCTGATAATGTTTAAATATTAATTATTAGATATGTTGGTGTTTGTTTTCATCCATTATTGAATATTCTGTGGAGATCCTGTTTGTCCATATATTTATATTTAATGAATTATAAACGGTATCCAGAAACCAATGACGAATCAGAACTAATCAGTTTCGTTGTTGGGTTTTATCGATGATCGCTTTACGGATTTAATTAGATAAAACAATAGGCACATTGCCGTGCAAGTTGTATTTATCCAATGTTCTAATATTTGTAATAAATAAAAACTAACACGGGATATTAAGAAGTTAAATGTTATAGATTCACTACGGCATGAAAGAAAATAGAAACAATGTTAAATTGTGAGCTTCTCAGATGACCTTCCATTACATGTTGTTGTTTTCTAGATATTGTTTAATTACTGTAGTTAATCGATTATGACTAGTCATTTCATCTGAAATAACGATTAACAAGTATACAGACTTTTTCTGTATTAAATTTTAGGCATATGATAATATTCTTGCTATTTCCAGTTGTTTGCATTCCGAATTTTGTTTTTTTTTCTAATTTTCTAATTTTATTTTTTGTAGTTCCGTCTTCTCATACTACATTATAATCAACTTAGGACTTAGACCTTCGAACTTAAGGTCAACTGAATTTTTCTTACATACATTTTTACTTGCAAGTCCTGGATAGAAAATGAATGAAAGGTGTGGGTATAATGTCGGTGTATCACCATAGGACGACACATGTGGTATAACAGCAGGGCTTATATTTTGACATTTGATTTCAATGTTGAGTTTGTTTTTTGTTTGTTTTTTTTTTTACATTTATGCGCATCAAGTCCAATACTTTGGTATTAAAACAATCTGGCTTTACACTTTTCGACAATCTGTCACATACATATATATAGTTTAATACTCTTTGAATACATCCGTATTATACTTGGAACGAGGGATTAGGACCAGGGTATAATATGTTAAATACCATCATCGCTGACATATGAGTTAAAATTTCTTCTTTCGAATGTAATGCCGCATGATGCCAAGTAATTGGGATTTTCAAATACCGTCGTGCAGTCAATTTTAGGAAGTGGAGTTGGAAAACCCAACTTGAACTAATATTAAATTTTGTTAAACCGATTTTCAACAGATAAAAAAAATAGAATCCCTATTTACATAAAATTGAGAATGGAAATGGGGAATGTAAACATACATTTATTGAACATCTAATACACGATCATTTTGTTCGTGTATTTCTCAAGAACATCTTGTGCTTTTTGGATGTTAATTAAATTCATGGTCTGGTAGACTATTTCTTAACTTAATGTCGTCAGAGACGGATTTAAAAGGACATTTTTAGTTGTGACCAAAACTTTGAATATTTTACTCTGGTTGAAAAAACAGTTTTACATTAAGGTCCCCCACCCTCCACTTTTGAAAAACACCGATACAAATGAAAAGTCAAGCAATAAATTTCAAGGTGATATAGAATATGACTGATTCTTAAATCAACACCCCAAGGGTGACTGGGGAATAGAAACAAATTCACTTTGGTTTTCTTTCGACCGGCAGTAAAATTAAAACCCTTACCAAGGTCCGTTTGGCAGTACGGGATGTACAAGTACGCAGCCACGTCTAGTCAGAATGGAAACGTTAAATACGATGCCTCGTGTAAAAAGAGTACCATGCTCTCTGCATGTGAAGAACCCTTGCAACAGCTCTTTGAAGGGTCCATAGGTGGCATGTTACAAGGCAAAAGGTCTGTCCCTATCCAATATACCCTCATTTTCTTGTAGCAGTCCAAATTTCTTCGACTTTCTTCCCGGACGGCCTCTATTTCAGAACCTACCTATTGTATTTATTGTTTATATGTTCTCGTCCTAAACATGCATGAAAAATTTGCCACTGGACGTTAAGAAACAAACAATCAAACAATCAATTTTAAATTACTAGGAAAAAGGAAAAGCCCTTAGGAAATCAACAGAAAAACTGAACAATTAAAATTGCCATAATTATAATCTTATTAGAACAGGTGATTTGCAATGAAATTTCAGATTGCTGTGCCCATTCCAGAAAGCAGATTCCCGACATTGGACATATCAATATAATGAAGTTAATGAACCAAATGAGTATTTGGACCATACGCGTAAGGTGATGACCATATGCGTATATACATGTAGGTCAAATTTATTCGTTCATTGTGTGTTAATTTACGTTTTTTGATTGAGTTAAACCTTCCAATTGATATTTTATAGTGTGTTTTTCTATGTTGTGATGTTATACTATTGTTTCAGAAAAGGGAGAAGGTTTGGTACCATTAAAACATTTAATCCCGCTGCAAATGTTTGAACCTGTCCTAAGTCAGGAATCTGATTACAGTAGTTATCGTCTGTTTATGTAGTTCATACGTGTTTCTCGTTTCTCGTTTTTATATAGATTAGACCGTTGGTTTTTCCGTTTGAATGGTTTTACACTAGTAATTTTTTAGGGCCCTTTATAGCTTGCTGTTCGGTGTGAGCCAATGCTCCGTGTTGAAGGCCGTACCTTGACCTATAATGGTTTACTTTTATAAATTGTAACTTGGATGGAGAGTTGTCTCATTGGCACTCATACCACATCTTCCTATATCTATTCATATGGTCCAATCATACGCGTATGGTACGGGTAATTAATACGATGTCCGTTGAAAATGTACTATTACTGTAAATTGAATTAGTGGGAACCTTCAAGGTGTCACAAATTAAGAGTTTTTAAAATTAATTTTGACTTGTTTAATATCTATTATATGAAATAGTGAAATTTTACCCACAAGTTAAAATTATAGTAAAAGCATTTTTACATGGTCATTATCGATTTTTCCTTACGAAACACAATAGGTCGACTTTGAAATATAACTTTAAGAAATATTTTAATCTATTTAATGTGCTCCTGCTCCTATTCATACGATCTATAATAATAATAATAATAATAATAATAATAATAATAATAATAATAATAATAATAATAATAATATCTTTATTTAGAGAGAGTAACTCATTTGGATTACATCAATTTTCAATAAGGCTCTCTTAATACAATAACAGTTACATTTATATTTAAGAATACAAATTCAATAATAATAATAAAAAAATATGCAATACAATTGATTTCGTTGAACAATTTATCTATGGCATTAAAGTACAAATAGCATGGCAATGTTAATAGTACATATATTTGTAGTTATATTCATATTTAAATACTGCGTTAGATTTTTAAATGTACTAGGAAGAGCATCCCAAACTTTTGGTCCACTGTACGAGAAACTAGAAGTATACAACTCTGTATTTGGCTTTGGAATTATAAAATTATCAGATGATATACAACTCGTATTGTATTTTTGGTTTGCAGTAGCTGATGCAATAAGACTCGACAAATATTCTGGAGCTAAACCATTTTTGTCTTATACATTAGTACATTCTAACGTGGAAACTAAGTTAAGAGTGGCAGCACGTATTTCTAACTGATATTGTATAAATAGCATTAAGAACACAACAAATAAGTGAAAATAAGTTGAAAATAGAAGAAAGAAAAAACCTAATCTAAACACCTGGAAAAAAACATTCTCCAAAACGCCCGTGGTTTAATTTAAGGACGAAAAGGTTGACATGATAAAGAGGCTTCAAATTTACCCTCTCAAAGGCAAGATAACAGATACACTAAGATTCAGTTACACTTCAAAGGCAAGATAACAGATACACTAAGAATCAGTTACCCTCTCAAAGGCAAGATAACAGATACACTAAGATTCAGTTACCCTCTCAAAGGCAAGATAACAGATACACTAAGAATCAGTTACCCTCTCAAAGGCAAGATAACAGATACACTAAGATTCAGTTACCCTCTCAAAGGCAAGATAACAGATACACTAAGACTCAGTTACCCTCTCAAAGGCAAGATAACAGATACACTGAGATTCAGTTACCCTCTCAAAGGCAAGATAACAGATACATTAAGATTCAGACAATATGTCAAAGTTATAGGATTTCAGTTAGAAACTTGTGGCGATTTTGGTTCGGAGAACGAGCTGTGTGTTATCGCGAAGGAAGTTATAATTTATTCGAAAAATACCTATATGGTCTAAAAACTCATAACGGCCGGACCGTTAATAACCAAACGAGTATATACTCATATGGTCCGACCGTACGCGTACATATACATATTGGAAAACAGTTTCAATCAAAATTCACCCCGTACCAAATATTTGCCGAATCAAAACCAAACCGAACTCTTAAAGCCCAGTTTAATTGGTCAAGGAAAATGTAAATACAATTAAAATTAAAAAACAAAGATCAATAATACGGGCGTAGTTTTGGATCAGACTTGAAATAGTACGTAAGCTTAAAGCAGATTTGAGCGAGAACTAGCATATAATTGATAACTTTCTGACTTGTTAACACTGGTATTTTTATGGTTGCCTACTAATGTTTACTACGTAATGGTCTAAAATACGTTTCTATTTTTCCTGACAGATAAAGCAATTATTTCCCTCAATACTTGTCATACAATGTAACTGCAAGAGAAAGGGTCAAATACAGTGTCTTTACTGTCAATCTGTACGATGGCAGCTAACTTTCCAATAGCTATTTCACCTCGTACACACTACAGCAAATGGTGAGACTATACCATATAATGGTTGACAAGATGTACTTTCAACGTGTAATTGTAGTAGTTTGTTGGTCATTCGGGATTATTTTTTTTTATAGACGAAATGGATTATAAATTGTCTTTTTTTTTGCAAAGTTATACCCAAGTGACACTATTGTGAAATAAAGTATAAAATTTTTGGTGAAAAAAACCGAATATACTTCTATTTCCCGTCCGTTTTGACATATTTTTTTTGTAAGTTGTGATGTACACACAAACAAAACATAGACGCAGATTCAAGTTCGTTATTACCTTCGATATACTATACAGATCCTTCGTTACCTTTGTAGCAGGAATCTCTGGTGTTTGTGGGACACTTTAACTTCATGATTACCGAATGTCCCCAATCTCGCATAATAAAGTTAATCGAATTCATAGGGATCGTCCAATTTGAGACTTGTATATGACAAAAAATGATACTT